ACTCCACAATTATCTTTATACCTCACACTCCTCAGTTTCACTGTGTTACTTCCGCTACATTTATCTTTAGGCTTAACGCCAATTATGTTCACTGCTTTATATACTCCCGCTACCCTTATCTTTAGGCTTAATGCCCAGTATCTCACTGTGTTATATACTCCACAATTATCTTTATACCTCACACTCCTCAGTTTCACTGTGTTACTTCCGCTACATTTATCTTTAGGCTTAACGCCCATTATGTTCAGTGCTTTATATACTCCCGCTACCTTTATCTTTAGGCTTAATGCCCAGTATTTCACTGTGTTATATACTCCACAATTATCTTTATACCTCGCACTCCTTAGTTTCACTGTGTTACTTCCGCTACATTTATCTTTAGGCTTAACGCCAATTATGTTCACTGCTTTATATACTCCCGCTACCTTTATCTTTAGGCTTAATGCCCAGTATTTCACTGTGTTATATACGTCACAATTATTTTTATACCTCACACTCCTTAGTTTCACTGTGTGTTAATTCCGCTACATTTATCTTTAGGCTTAACGCCCATTGTGTTCACTGCTTTATATACTCCCGCTACCTTTATCTTTAGGCTTAATGCCCAGTATTTCACTGTGTTATATACTCCACAATTATCTTTATACCTCACACTCCTCAGTTTCACTGTGTTACTTCCGCTACATTTATCTTTAGGCTTAACGCCCATTATGTTCACTGCTTTATATACTCCCGCCACCTTTATCTTTAGGCTTAATGCCCAGTATCTCACTGTGTTATATACTCCACAATTATCTTTATACCTCACACTCCTCAGTTTCACTGTGTTACTTCCGCTACATTTATCTTTAGGCTTAACGCCCATTATGTTCACTGCTTTATATACTCCCGCCACCTTTATCTTTAGGCTTAATGCCCAGTATTTCACCGTGTTATATACTCCACAATTATCTTTATACCTCACACTCCTTAGTTTCACTGTGTTACTGTAACTAAGCCTACATTTATCTTTAGGCTTAACCCCCATTATGTTCAGTGCTTTATATACTCCCGCTACCTTTATCTTTAGGCTTAATACCCAGTATTTCCACTGTGTTATGGACTACAGCTACCATTACTTTTAGGCTTCACGGTCCTATGGACCACATCAGTATAATAGGCTAGAGTTATGAATGTAATTGTTATTCTCTCTTCTCAGATCAGGTAGCGTAGACAAAGGTAATTTTTAACAAATAAACGACCTTTATCTACAAAATGAAGAAATGAAATACAGTGGAGCAAACATTTGAGTTTTAAACAGTGTGTCTGAGACAGAGAAGCTGGTTACACGTTGTGTTAACTACGTCGTTATTAACTTTACTGTCATTTAAACGAATTACCCTTCTGTCTGTTTTTGTATTATTAATTTTTTTTAAGAAAATCAATAATAGAAAAAAAAACGTTATAAAATCTTAATCGTTTAAGTTTGTGTAAATAAAGGTAGAACAATTAGCCAAATAATGTTTCAAAATATTCTTTACGTGAAATAAGTGTTAACAGGAGCTTCTCTTCTGTAACTAAGTGACACAGGAGCTTCTCTTGTGTCTGTAATCAAGTAACACAGGGTCTTCTCTTGTGTCTGTAACTAAGTGACACAGGAGCTTCTCTTCTGTAACTAAGTGACACAGAAGTTTTTCTTGTGCCTGTAACTAAGTGACACGGGGACTTCTCTTGTGTCTGTAACTAAGTGACACAGGAGCTTCTCTTCTGTAACTAAGTGACACAGAAGTTTTTCTTGTGCCTGTAATCAAGTAACACAGGGACTTCTCTTGTGTCTGTAACTAAGTAACACAGGGACTTCTCTTGTGTCTGTAACTAAGTGACACAGAAGTTTTACTTGTGCTAGTGACACAGGGTTTTTCTTCTACTTGTAACCAAGTGACACGGGAACTTCTCTTGTGCCTGTAAGTAAGTGACACAGGAGCTTCTCTTCTACCTGTAACTAAGTGACACAGAAAGTTTTCTTGTGCCTGTAATCAAGTAACACAGCGGTTTTTCTTATGCTTCTAATCAAGTGACACAAGGACTTCTTTTGGCCAGTGATTGGATGAAATATGGGTTTTTCCTGTGGCTGCTAG